ATCCCAAAAGCTTGTCTTCTTTCTTGCCCATGACAGGGACTCAATGAATGAATGAATAAATGACCTAACAGTATAAATCCAATTCTAACAAAGGAAATCATACCAGTGAGTTTAAGTCCAGATGACAAGATTACAACATTACTTTGTTCCCTCCATACTTTTACAATAAATGCATACCACCTATACTTCTATAAGGAGAAAACAGAACTGTATTTTCATCCCCATTTTAACTGAACAGAGGTCTATATTAGAGCTACTCAAGCGTGACCAAGTGTAGTAAAAGATCAGTTACATCGTTTCCATGTATTCTGAAAAACATTTAGGACCTACATAGTCTGACCTCAACAACTGGCTTCTGGCCATTAAACAGCAGCTCTCTTTTCTGGAATTAAAGATTAAAACATCAACAAAATTAAAGCAGGCCTCAAAATGAGATGGCATCTCAGCAAACTGCAGATGACTGCATAAAACAAATGTGCCCAGAGTGCTTATAGCACTATTTCACAAAGGTGACTGTGCTCTTCCTCTTTTCACAAACGGCCGGCTTGATGCAAAGCATGTTTAGACATGAACTGCTCTACTGACTCTCCCTGCAACACTTTCATGGCTCGCCAATAGAGCTGTCCGCAGTTCTCAGGTCTACCAAGTGGGTGGTTCAATTCTTCTTTGATGTAATCCATCCAGAGATCAGAATCAACAGTTCCAAATTCTCTCAAAGCCCTCTCATAATACTCTCTCAAGTTTTCCATCTAACAGGATTCTTGCTCCTTCTCAAACTCAATCATCTTCCTGAAAAAATCAACTGAAAATGGACGGTTTTCCTGTAAACTTTTAAATACATCTCTGGCCTTTTCGTAACCACCACTTCGATAAGCCCAAGCCAGGTACATTTCCTTCATAGTGGCTGAGTCATCTCCTGGGAGACGAAAGACAGCTCTCTTATAGATCATTTCAGCTTCTTCTTGCTTTCCAATCTCTTCACTACACTGTGCCCAAGTAAGCCACAATGGAAGACAAATCTGGGGTTTCAGGTACTCAGCCTTGGTTAAAAACCTTGGTCATCTCCTGGCTCTCTGATGAAATCAGGGCCTCCAGCTTCACCTGCCACATCTCCACTGATTTTCTGAACAATTCCACCCCAGCGTCTGCCACCTCCAGGGATTCCTTAAACAACTGTCGGTACAGCAACAACTTGCTCAACTGCCTGTACTGGAATTCTGGTAAAAGTTTCAGCTCATGTGCCTTCCAGAATGTAGCCATGGTTCTTTCAAGTCTCTTCTTTCTGAGGAGGCGACTGCTTGTCTTCTTAGTAAATCTCTCCATGCAGAAGTTCATGTAATACTTCCACATAGCCTCTGTGGGCAGAGTTTTTACCGCCTCCTCGTACACAGCACAGCACCTCTCTTCCCGGCGGCCCACCTCCTTCGCTTTGGCTTCTTTAGTTGTAGGCAGCTCTTCTCCTGGCTGTGATTTAATCACTAATTCTTGCCGGGCCACATAGTCCCAAGTGAGGGGGTCGTCTGTGTGTAGAGCCTTAAGGTCATTGTAAATTTCTCTTTGCAGATCTTTGGCAAAGTCGAACTGCTGTGCAATTGAAAGCAGTGACACATGAAATTTTGCACTTTTAATTACACTTATAGAATTCTTATAGATGATCCGTGCCAACTCGCCCGTAAGGACTTCTTCAGCATGCTCGAAATTCCCCACATCCATGTTGGCTTTTTCAAACTCTTGCTTTTCCTTCCTCAATTTTTCAGCATGCATCAGCTCCATCCTAAAGTATTCTTCATAAAGTTTCGGGTAACGTTGGTGAAAGCGCAGAGCCCGAAGAAATAGCTGTCTTGCACTTTCTGAAGACAAGCGGTCTTCCATTTCCCATTTCGCCGCCAAAATCCACAAACCTGGCTTGTTCGAATGAAAGGCCAACAAGGAAGAAAATAACTTGCTAAGTTGAACATTGGCAGCCCACTTCCTACAAAAGGCTACAAAAGACAGCTTAAGTTTAACATCATCTTTCCACTTAATCGTTGCACGTTGGAAGACACTCTGTATCCGACGTATCATAGGGTCCTCGATCTCATCCTTCTTAAATGTATATCCAACACTAGCTCTTCTTTTGTGGATCAGCTCCAAAAGGTAAATTTCATACTGAACATATCTGATAAAGCTGTCCTTTGAAAGACTTCTTCGCTGTATTTCATATTCTAGTTCTGAAGCCTTCCTAATGATTGCCCTAGTCTCAGCCTCACTGAAGAGTCCAGTGCGCTCCAACTGTTGTAATTCGAAAAGTCGATCCTCTAAACGTTCCTGAGTTATTTCTGCCATGATAGCCGAACTCCACAACCCACCAGAGCTCCTCTCAGCGACGACACACGAAGGAAATGGCCAGCTTCATATATTCTTATAGTTCAGTCAAAGCAAGGAAGTTCTGGGTATTTTTTTTTCTATTCTTTAGAATCCATAATTTATATATGTATTGATCTATCTTAAGTTGCACAAATGAAATTTTTTATTTTATATATGATCTTAAACTTATGCATGGAATTTTTAAAATTAGACTAGTGTATTTTATAGGTCTAGAATTTCCGTGGCTTTTTTTTTAATTGATTCTGTATTTTTAATTATTTATCATCTGTTTGTTCATTTTGACCAACTTATTTTTGAGTGATTGCACATATTTATAATAGCTACTTTAAAGTCTTTATCTGCAAATACCAACATGTATCTTCTCATTGTCCGATTTTATTCTTTATTTTTCTCTTGATTATGAGTTTTTGTATTTTTTGCATGCCTAGTTTTTTTTTAAAATTGTTTTCAAGCCTCTATAAGTGACAAATTTTAGAGATGCTCTTGAATATGTTATCTTTCTCTGAACAGTGTTGACTTTTTCTCGCAGTCCAGGAAAATCTCTATGACTGGACTCAAGCTCCAAACTGTGTCTCCATTTCACAGAGAAGTAGAGGAATTCTTTTCCTCCTCACCTCCCAGGTACTGCTTTTTCCAGAAAGCATGCCACCTTTTA